TAAACCTACGAAGCTCAAAGGGGAGCTGCCCCTGCATTTTGCAAACATAGTTGTAAACGTAGAAGGCTCCAAGGGGAGCTGCCCCTGTATTTGCAAATATAGCTGTAAACATCCAAAGTTCCAAGGGGAGCTGCCCCTGCATTTGGCAAACCTAGCTGTAAACCTACAACGCTCTGAGGGGAGCTACCCCTGCATTTTGCAAACCTGGCTGTAAACATCCAAGCCCCAAGGGGAACTGCCCCTGATTTAGCCAACATAGTGGTAAACATCCAAAGTTTCAAGGAGTGCTGCCCCTGCATTTTGTCCGCACAGCTGTAAACTAGTTAAAGCTCCAAGGGGAGCTGCCCCTACATTTTGCAAACATAGCTGTAAACATCCAAAGCTCCAAGGGGAGCTGTCCCTGCATTTTGTCGCGTAGCTGTCAACTAGCTAAAGCTCCAAGGAGAGCTACCCCTGCATTTTGCAAACGTGGCCGTAAACATACCCAGCTCCAAGCCCTTTTTTTGTTTCTTCCTCGCAAACATAGCTGTAAACATACCACGCACTAAGGGGAGCTGCCTCTGCTTTCTGCAAGCATCGCTGTAAACGATTACATACAAGGCTCGGAGGGGAGTTGCCCCTGCTTTTTGCAAACATAGCTGTACCAGGCCCCAAGGGGAGCTGCCCCTGAATATTGCAAACAAAGCTGTGAACATACAAAGCTCAAAGGGAAGCGGCCCCTGCGTTTTGCAAACATAGCCGCAGCGCTGGGCATAACGCCACCCAGGCGAGGCGCGCTGCCCCTGCCTTGACCAATGCCGCCGCAAACAACACGCGCAAAGGGGCGCTGCCCCTGCATTTGCTCGCATAGCCGCCGTATCAGACCGCTGGGTCAGCCGCCATATCAGACCGCTGGGTCAGCTGCCATATCAGACCGCTGGGTCAGCCGCCATATCAGACCGCTGGGTCAGCCGCCGCCGCCATATCAGACCGCTGGGTCAGCCGCCATATCAGACCGCCGGGTCAGTTGCCATATCGGACCGCTGGGTCAACTGCCATGTCGGGCCGCCGGGTCAACCGCCGCATGGGCTGGGGGCGCTGCCCCTGCCTCTGCCGCCGCCACAAACAGAGCTCAAAAGGGAACCACCCCTGCATTTGCTCGCACCGCCGCCGTATCAGGCCGCCGGGTATTCCGCCGCACGGGCGATTACGAAGGGGAATCGCCCCTGCCTCCGCTAGTACAACTGAATAAGCAGCATGGGCCAATCGCCCTGCCCGCCGGGTGCGCCTAATGTGTGAGTGTGTGTGTGTAACGCACATACGCGTGTCTGCAATATGCCCTGCGCGGTCGTGACGGATTAATCCGTCGCACCTCGAGTACAGTGTTAATTACTGAAAGTAAGACAAGGTCGCCAGCCCGCCAACACCGGCACTTACTGCCGGCTCGCCGTGGTATCTAAACAACAATGGCAACAGCGACGACAGCCGCAAGGAAAAAGATAACAGCTCGCCATGTCCAAACAAAGCCCCAAAACAGCAAAGTAGACCCCACATGCTGAGACTTGGTGTAATGCCGCCTAGTACGAGTAGGAAGGGGAGGGGAGCGACAGCACTTAGAGGCGAAGCAGGGTGCGGGATGGAGGAGAGGAGGATAAAGAGAGAGAGAGAGAGAGAGTATGTGTATGTGTGTGTGTATGTAGGTATGTATGTATGTGTGTATGTATGTATGCGTGTGCGTGGGTGTGTGTGTGCTTGCGTGCTTACCCACGTGTGCTGAGAGAGATAGACAACACAGCGAATGAAAAAGGAGGCACGCATTTGTTGAGAAGAAGTTCAGCCGGTTTGCTGCCATGATTAGTTGCTCCCGCATAGCATGAGTTCGGGACTAAGCCGAGTCCAGCAGCTGGATGAGGGAGCCGATGAGAGGAAATGGACTAATCGTCCGCGTGAAAGAGCGTCCGCAGCGGAGTTGTCCGTGGCCGTAATATGGGTAGTCAGCGAGATAAAGCCTTGTGCTCTGCTACCATGCGGGGGCTGAAGTGGGCTAGTTCCGTCACGGTTGGATTTCGGCAAGTCCCGGATTTCAGACTGCTCCAACTGCCTTTTTGTCGCCGTGCAGTATGAATTTCTTGTCGGACTACTTAGGGCCCCAGAGGGCGTAAGCCCGTGTTGCAAGGCGCGATGGTTCTGAAAGTCTGCCAGGTCTCGACCCAGTAGATTAGAGATTCAGTTTTTCTCTTGCCAGAAGAGGAGCCACCAATGACAATTCCACTCAGTGATTGCCATCGGATTGATCGATTCTAACACGTTTGGCTGCTGGCTGCGTATGCGTGTGGGCAGGACAGGAAGGAAGCATTGTGGCCAGCTCGAAGTATTCCGCACGCCGTATTGTCCTAATCGTCTCCCGTGCGCCAACACATGCGCCGGCCGGCATCATAGCGCCTCCAAGGAACTCGACTAAACTGGTCATGCACAACAGTGTCCATGCCTGCATTTTCGGCCGGCATGCTCATCGCCCGAGGCTTGTTGGTCAGGGCCGACGCTGCCGTCGCCGCGGTCTCAAACGAGGAATACCAGCGATCCGCTGCTGAGTAGGATCCATGCTCAGGTACGGGTATAAACCATGTAAACCAACTAGCTTTAGAGCAAACGAGAGCAAAAAAAAATTCTGGCCTTCTGCAAGCAATAGCAAGTAATGAGTGACGGCTGTGTAAAGTCCCACAACCATGCAGTCGACCGGATGATGGTGAGTGTCCGGCACACATCTTGCTCTGCTGCTCCACCTGCGCATACCTGATACGGTGGTGCGCTTACGGGCGGGCTGCCTGGGCCCCAGATGCCTCCTTGATGCGTCACGGAGTGCCGTCGAAGCACCTGTATCACTTCGGTGATCCAAATGCGAATGCAGCCTTGCCGGTCGCCCGCCGGCCTGCCGCCTACGCGACCAGCCTGAGACTGGCCCTGCCGCATTTGGCGCTTCTAAATGCTGCGATCCAGTAGACAGCTCACTAGGCTGCCAAATACGTGACTGGCTTGAGGACAGTTCCATACTGGGCAGGGCGCCCAGCTCAGGTCGCACGCCGTGGCGGCGTGAGCTGGGCGCGGTGAGGGTTGGTGATAACTACAGTTTCCTCCTTCCTCCTCCGGAAACTTCCATTTTTCCCCTTCTGCAACACATAACATGAGTTTCGAACCCACACTATCGCCCTGCATGCATTCCCTCGACACACTCCGCATACATACACATTCTTCCTCGACATTACACCGGGCCTACACACCGGCAAGTATCGTCCATACCGGAAGCCCAACGACCAGGCACTATAACTATGTCCAACACCAATCCAACCACCCACCAACAATCATCCAGAACTTGCCCTCTTCCATCAGCCTACATCGAGAGACATTCCAGGACACGTCTCAACTGTACAATGGTGCACTCAGAGACAGTGGATATAACGGCACTGTCCCGTTTCTGCAAGAATAGAAGAGTGGAAGGAAGAAGAAACAAAGGACCCACCACAGGAACATTACTTGGCTCAACCCACCATTTAGGACCGGTAAGACTGTGCCCACGAACATCAGTCAGCGATTTCTACAGCTTGGCAACAAGCACTTTCATAAAGGATGCAAACTCAACAAGATATTTAACCAGAACACACTAAAGGTCACGTACAGTTGTATGCCAAATGATGTCCCCATCATCAGGCAACACAACAGTAGTATCCTCCGCAGCGACCACCAGAATAAGACCAAGGATGTGAGAACCTGTAACTGCCGTGTCAAAGAATATTGTCCCTTTGGAAGGAAATTGTGTAACATCGAATATTGTGTGCAAGGTACATGTGACCGGGAGTGACATCAAAGGAGTTCACCGGACTATTGGAAGCGACATCCAAGACGCTACTCAATGGTCATCAACACACCGTTCGTCAACGGCAGTATGAGAGCTCAACGAGACTGTCAAGACATATTTGGAGACTGAAGAGGGGGGGGGGGACTAACCACACAGTATCAAGTCCAGCATGACCTTGGATCCAGCGACTTTCCCTACTGCTAAATGGACGGTTGATATCGGCCAGAAGAACTTGAATACTGCTCTTGATGCTGCTATGCAACGATACTGGTCTCGAATCATCCGCGCCAACACATCTTGATGAAACGTGCGCTCCAGGCTATCGATGCATGTGGACTTCTTGAGCAAAGACCTGGTCTTGGAAGATTTTGCAATGAAATTAGGAATAAGATCCAAACAACGACACACAGTAAGAATTTCCCTGACGAATAACACTTCACAAGGAACTCCGTCTCCTTCACCAACCTCCAGGGAGCAACAAGCGACGAACTTTTGCCAGAACCATTTTTTTACCTTAAAGCTCCATTGCAGTTTGTCCTTTTGATAATGTTTTGGAGTTCTAAATGGATCCCAGCCTACGGTCTTAGTGTCCGTCTGGCCACGGTCAGGCAACGTCTCAGCTATGCTGTCGCTTTGCCCTTGAGTACTGGTAATATTTAAGTAAAAGACACGCATGCATTTACGCGAAGTTCTCACATTCAGTCCAGAACACTTCCGCCGGATAGGGTATCAGAGGTTTTCTGTGCCTTCGCATACAGGACACTACAGGAAATCATGGCTCAAGTTGTCAGAGACGGGAACATATAGGGCATAAAGGGTAATGAGAAATCAATGCTTGTCACAACATAGGAGTTGACTGTCACAGGCCGATGACAAGACGTTGACATTGCGGCCCGGTCAAACTACAATTCTGGCGCAGTTCATTGCATGCGAGGTTGTTTGATCTTGTAACTGTTCTTTTGGTTTTTTGGTCTTTTGTTTTCACGAAAAACACACACCATTTGGCAGTGATGAGAAATATGGAATGGTAGGAGTGGAGGAGAGGCAGGGGCAGCTTGACCGACCCTAGGGTCATGATGTATATTTTAGCCTTATAATGTTAGCACAGCACCTGCTATCTGCTGACAGTGTGTGTTGATAATTATGTTTTTGGTGTGTATACTTCCAGATTTAAATAGCACCTTTTGCAATGCACCTTGTACCATTCTTACGGACCAACAACTTGATTGCCCTGCACGTTATAAATGCAATAGAACGGTCAAGGACTACACTTGTGTCGGTGAGTGCGCGTAATGTCATGATAGTGATCTATAGGTTTATATTTAGTAGAGAAAAAAGGACCAAGAAACTACAAGTTGCGCTATGATGTACACTAACACCACCAGTTACTAAACAATCAGTTCATGCGATAACATTGCACGACACTGACCGATGGTACTGACGTTCTACAACTAACTGGCTATCAGCTCTAGCACGTCTTGGGTGGGCACTCCAACAGCCTTCCAACTTGGAAGGTTCTAAGTTATAGGAAAACATGGGAGGGGAAGGTGAGCGCAACAAAGACAAGCACAAGCTGAAAGCCTCAGCTGTAAAGTACGTTGGAGAGTGTTCATGCATGTCGAAACTGGCAAGGCCATTAGACAATACGGACAAACCACGATTCAAGAACTCATAGCAGCATACATGTACCACACAGCTTGCGTGGCTGTAAAGATGCAAACATCAAATGAAGGGGAAGCTAAGCGAACATGAACTATGAAAAACCAAACGTCTTAGTGAAACAACACTGTACTTCGACTTTGACAATTTAGATGGACGCAGCAGTAACAAGCAGCAGGTTCACACGACGATCGTTTTGCGGTATATATAAGAACAGCGTTTTAGGGTTTGCTGGAAGCAGAGACTCGGATGGAGAGCGAATGATCAATAATAGTTGAGAACTACAAGTTACGCTATAATGTGCACTAACACCACCAATTAGTTGACATTCTCAGCTGAGACGTTCAGCTTCTGCTTGTCCTGGTTCCATTCACCTTCCCCTCCTATGTTTTCATACAACTTAGAACCTTCCACGTTGGAAGGCTGACGGAGACGGCTGGGGTGAGCTGTAAATGCTGTAACTGTGACGATTTTTTTTAACGAGGGAAAATGAAATCTTTTTTACAAGGAAAAAGAAAGTGCCAAACAGAGCTGGAGTGCTGCCGCCCAATAGCGGACTGAAAACTACTACATGCAGTAGCAGGATGAAAAGAGCACAAATGAAACCAACACAGACAAAACCAGAGGCAAATGGTATCAAATACGCATTCCTACCTCAGCAACCGCCAAGGTGGGAGGTGAGTCCAACTGCGCCGGCCGAATATTCAGGGATCCACGCAAACACATCAGGCTGGACCAGAGTAGGGCAAAATACAGGCTCCAGTTGAGCGATGACTCTCTCATACTGGTCCTTTTTTGACATCATTTTCTTCTCAGAAAACGCCTCGCTCTTCCGCCAGGTTCGGAGCAGCCTCGGCCTCGTAGGTCCACGGACTCATCTCGAAAAATAAGAGGGAACAAAACAAACCTTCAAGAGACGAATGTCGAATGACTAGCTCAACTCGAGCAACTGTCTTGAAAGACACTGTTTTTCCGCCAAGCGTCATTCCCGTCAGCGACAACACAGCTGATTTCCCCACGTCAGACGCAGCAGCGTCTGACGCTCAAATTTCCCGCGTTTCCGTCAGTTGTCAAGGAAAAGTTCATGATTCTGACGCAGACGCAGCATTTTTACTGTAGTGTGACCGAGGCCAAAGGCAAGGTCCGTGACGGGGTGACTTTCGGACCTAATTTCCCGTTTGTCGGGACTTCTTTTCAATTATTTCTCTTTGAAAGAGCCGGAATCAAATTCACAATACCAGCTTTTCATGAAGACCAAAAATTAGCCCTAAAAGGTGTGGCATTCAAATACTAGCCCCAGGAAATTGTTACCACGCTCCTGAACTATCTCTAAACACAATAAGTGACGGGAAGGTGAGCGCAACCAAGTCCTTTTTCTTTCTTATCTCTTAATTTGCTGGCCAAAAATCCTATATATAGGATTTGAAAATGTGTGCCTTTTATGCCGTTGTTATTGGTCGTCACGACCAATAATAACGGCATACTGGTTTTCATGGAAGTTGTAAATATGATTGAGGCATGAATGTTTACATTTTAGATTCATAGGGCGATAATATTTCTGATGAATACTCATTTTCAGCACTTATTGGAAATTTGAGCATAATTGTTCAGCTGCTGTCATGGAAAGGACTGAAGCAGTGAATGTGCAGAAGAACATTGCAGGTGTGGCACGGGGTGGTTTCATGACGACATATCGCACATGCCGTCATGAAACTACCAGTTTTAAGGATAAAACAAGGTCCAATAAAATCTCAAATCCTATATATAGGATTCGAAAAATAGGGCACAGGCCTTAGTAATATCGGGCAAGGAGATGAGCCTGAGATGTTAGTGTTTGAAAAATTATCTTATTCTACTCTCGATATCTACTAAGACCTAGCAAGGAAAAATTGGTCACATACTGTTTGCTAGTCTCATGCCACACCCATTTTGAGTTGAAATATATGACCAAAATCCTATATATAGGATTTAGCAAATTAAGAGATAAATTAATCCTTGGCTCTCCATCTGAGTCCATTCCTGCACAGCTGATGAGCCGTCTTTATCTATATCGCGAAACGATCGTCGTGTGAAACTGCTGCTTGTTACCGCTGCTTATTGTCCATCTAAATTGTCATAGTCGAAGTACAGTGCTGTTTTTCTGAGGCGTTCGGTTTTTCATGATTCTTGTTCGCATAGCTTCCCTTTTTATTGATCTTCCCATCTTTTGAGCCACACAAGTTGTGTGGAATGTTGCTTTGCGTGCTTGAATCAAGGTTTGACCGTATTGTCCAATGGTCTTGCCAGTATCGTCATCGACATGCATGAACATCCGCCAACGTCCTTCACAGCTGAGACTTTCAGCTCGTGCTTATCTTGATTGTGCTCACCTTCCCCTCCTTATGTTTTTTCTATAACTTAGAACCTTCCAAGTTGTAAGGCTGTGGGAGTGCGTATCCAAGATTTGCAGGAGCTGTTAGCCAGTTAGTTGTAGAACGTCAGTACCGTCGGTCAGTGTCATGCAATGCTATCGCATGAGCTGATTGTTTAGTAACTGGTGGTGCTAGTGGACATCGTAGCGTAACTTTTAGCTCCTTGGTCCTTTTTCTTTCTTATAACAATTTATCCTCACACATAATCCTGCTGAGATGGCAGCTGCTCTCAACGAGCACCTTGTATGGGTTGGCACACAGGATGATCCTGACTGGCCCGTCCCAGATCTGTCTCATCTCCCTTCTGGGGCCTCGAACCTCTCAAACATTGTCATCTCCTCCGAGGCCGTGATTCGCTATATCAAGAAACTCCCTACAGGCTATGACGGTATAAGCACGACGAGTTTCTGAAGGCCTCGACACTTTCTATCTCCTATCCTCTCTCTCTAATCTTCAATAATTCCCTGTGCAGCAGCGTTTTTCCTACTGCCTGGAAATATGCTGTGGTTGTGCCCATATACAAGAACAAGGGAAGCAGACATGATCCTGGTAACTATCGCCCTATCTCTCTGCTGAATACCTGCTCCAAGATACTTCAGAGAATCATCTATGATCGGCTGTACCATCATCTGGCATCTCTGCTCCATGATATGCAATCTGGGTTCCGCCATGGTGACTCTACCCCTCTACATCTAACCAACCTTGTCCAGAGACTGTGCACCCTCCAAGACCGCCACCATTACCTTGGCCTGTGTTTCTTCGACCTGGCGAAAGCGTGTGACTCAGTTTGCCGGGCATCGGGGGTTACTAGCCAAGCTGCATGCTTATGGGGTCACCGGACGCCTGCAGTCGTGGCTCACCTCCTATCTCAACAATAGGACTCAATCAATCAAGCTTGGTCCAGTCCTATTGGCTTCTATCACTATTTGCTCCGGTGTACCGCAAGGATCCACCCTAGCACCGTTACTTTTCCTGGCCTTCGTCAACGACCTCCCTGTCCTCAACCCTGGCGTGTCTCTGTTTGCAGACGACACTTGTATGCTGCGCAGTAGTCCCTCTATTTCCCGTCTTATATTGGACCTCCAAGCGGGTATCACGGATACCACCTTGTGGATGGCATTTTGGAATGTAAAATCTAACGTCGGGAAGACCAATGTAATGATCAATTCCCCTCTCTCTACTACTCTCCCTCCCCTAGTATTCCATTTCTCGACCACTCCCATAGAATATGTAGATAACCACAGGCAATCTCTCCTGGACTCACCATGTTGCCCACATATGTAAGAAGACTAGTCAAGCCATAGGATGGTATAATATATTCACACGGCGCCCATCTTCCTGACAGCTGTCGCGCTCTTTTTTTATAATGCATATATCTTGCCTCATTTTGACTACTGCTGTACTGCCTGGACAAATCTATCTATTGCCCAACAGCAGAAACCGGAAATTCACAATCGTTCCCTCCTTAAAATTCTTTATCATATGCCCAAGTCCCTTTCTAGTGTCGCTCTCTATGATAACATATTATGTTATCCTCGGCCAGACCTCTCCTAGAAAGACGACGAATCATGATGTGCTGTCTTATCCATCATATTCGACTTTGCAAAATATCCCCGCCATCTTAAACCATTTGACTGGTTCTGACGGGATAGCCCCACTAGGAGCCGACTCTCTCTCTCTCTTCCTCTAGCCCGCTCTTCTGCAATGATACACTCCCGCTTTTCAATGGCTGTTTGTAGTGGCTTTTATCTGTACCAGGAGACACAGGGCCTTTCTACTTTAACAGCATTCTGGAACGCCTTGCTTTACCAGTAGACCACAACTTAAGCCCATATTTGCTTCTTTCTTCTTTTCCTTTTCTTTTTGACTTCTTTCTCTTTTCCTTGTTAGGCGTGGTTGGCTATAAAAACCAGTCGCCATGCAAAGTGGTCATTGGCTACCCCAGCCATGTATTTCTTGGAATAAAATTAAAATAAATAATAAAATAGAATAACTGAACGGCAAAAGAGTAGCACAAGCAAACATTTCCTGACAACGAGAGGGACTGTAACTACAGCCACAGCAGTAGCGGCTGCAGCAGCAGCAGCAGCAGCAGCAACAACAACAACAGCAGCAGCAGCAGCAGCGCCTTGCAGACTACTCCA